TTTTAAAAAGTATGGCATGATATGTTTGACTCTCTTTTATTTATATACATATTTTATATTTAAGTTATTACAAAACTCACCTCCTTCAAAAAAATTCGTCCTCAAAATTCAGTTGGCTAAGATTTGCAGATATAAATATGTGGAGAACACATTTGATTATCACTTGCCCTAATGCTTCTTCTATTGAATGATTTCTCCCACGAACTTTTAGTCCCAAGATTTAATATTCCTATCATACTTTTAATAACTTCCTACGAGCCAATATATGACATTTTCATCCTTTTTTTCTCTTTTTTTTTTCTAAAACATAAGGAAAACTCAATTATTTTTCCAATTGGAAGTTCAAAATACTGTTTTTCATGTTCTCCAAATCTTCACCTTACGTGCTAATTTAAAATATTCTCTAATCACATTCTTTTTCTATAACAATGGTTACATATTAAGATCGAACAACAATCTTTCACCCATTTCATCGTACGTCCTTAGAATATCTCAATATTATATATAACCTCAATTACCGTCACTTGTGTCTAGTTCTTATAGGTCAATTCCATGAAAAATAGATAATTATCCAAGTCCTCTTTAATTAACAAGTTAGTTGATAGCCTCTCTTTTAAACGGGTCTTCATAATGTCTGATATTCTATCAAAAGAAAATGGAAAGTGAAATTTAATTATATAACTTCTTACAACTAACCAAAGATAAATACTCCAATTCCACCACGAAATTAACAATATTATCTAAATATAATTTTATAAGTCTATCCTATGAATTGACTATATCATTTAAAAAGAATCTTGTAACATTTATCAATCTATCCACAATGATTTAAATATTATTTTGTCTCCCTTTCATATATTTGGAATCCCCAAACAAAAATATTTGAGGGTAACTGCCTTCATTCTATACTGACAATATCTCCAAAAATTCCATTATTCACGATTTTCTAAAATTCTAGTTATCCCCAATAAAAAAATTGAGCTAGTTCAATATGGTGTGCTTTTCTTTTAATTCTATATCACCCAATGATAATATATACACAATTTTCATTTCCACCATTTCGAATAAAATATACCTTAAAGTTTGATGATTGATAACTATTGACATTTCTCGCAATGTGATGACGAAATCCCAATATAACCAATTCCAAATCATGTTTTAATCATGCCTCTTCAACAATCTACAGTATCATCCATAATTTATAAGTTTACTTCAGAATACTTTCTAAACCTTAACATAAATCATTATCATGAATCAATCACTTATCATCTTTAGATATAAGAGCAAATATTTTCTCAAAATTTCCTGATAGTAAAACTTTCGACATTGCTATACCCATGCAAATTTTTTTCTTTCTTTCTATAAAGAGACAACAATAACATTTAATTCATGATAATCTATACTCTTATTCCATAAATAGATCATTGATCCATCGTCAATGCATAATCCTTCTTGTATATCGCATAAAGACCTTTAGTTAAGATAATGTAACCTAAAGATACTATTTCACAATGAGAAAAAATCTATATTTAATGATTATCTTAAACTTTAGAAATAGTCAACATGTCCTACTTATATTCCTTAACAAATATATTTTGATAAAAATGGAATACTTTGTTCATAATCCATATAATTGAAAATAGCCCAAAAAATTATATCACTAAAATTTCAATAAATTCATCTTAAATTCAAAATTTAACTCAATGCATCTAAATTGTATGGTATATAACACAATAATTCAACGAATGGCCTTAACAAAATTAATTAACTTGATAACCCAAATTTATAATCACATTATTTTGCTATAGGACAACCATTATATTCATTTACATGCTATTCACCATATCATGTTATGATCATGTAACTTTGGCATTTATCGTCATATCGTATGACCTAAAACATTTAATTATATCAATTTTTCTTAATATCACAAGATGATAACCTTCATATTTATGAACTGAACATTTCACACCTCAATATACCGCATGTTAATTTCCCAATCTCAACAAATTTCGATTCTACCATTCTCTATTTTTTTTTCCACATAAACATACCTAAATACACATATCCATTTAATTCTATTTTTAAAGCAACAAATCACCCCATAATAGGTAATCATTATGAAATTGATCCCTATTATTCTCACATTCCTTTTAATCCAACCACTCATAAATAATCGAAATAATTGAAATTACCGTTAATTTCCTCAATGCCTAAAATACACCATCACACATTGTCATCTATCAATCAACAAATCATCATTTTGTCTTCCACAATTTCTTATCATATAGTATAAATATACACCATTATGATTTCTATTATCATCCCATATAAGTGGCCACAAATCACCACAAAATTTTTATAACACTAATGACCATTTGGCTCCAAAATAATTAAAATTCCACGCTGATTGTAAAATCTATAACTTAGGATGCCTAGCAAAATCATCAAAATCTATTCAAATCTTACTAGGTTACATACACACATAGTTCCAACCCAACAAGCAATAACATTTACAACCATAATATCATTGCAACTACCATACATACTAGTCTTTGCTGGATCTGTTAAAAATATCTTTCTATCATTTTTGGTTCTATGCATTTGAGCTAGAGAGCCTGTGATTTCTGCCACCACGACATGTGATCATATCCACTGAACATGCATGAACCATAAAAATTTTTGAAGCCATGCTCTAATACCACTTTGACACGACATGTCTCGTCTTGCATCACCCTAGTGGACCCGAAACGTGACGTGCATCAATGACAGATGCTGACTAGATGTCAAATCTATCATCAAGGCTAACTATGAGTTATTTCAAAAAATGCAACAAAATCAAATGCTTATGTAAAACATAATGCGATGGGCCCAAATTATTTACTTTGTGCTTCTTCAAAATGAGTTATAACACTCAACATGTCATGTGGCTCTTATTCCGAAATCATTAGGCTCTTCCGGCTAAAAAAAAACAATTTTCACCTGTAGGAAAATCACAGAAAATATATGAGTTGATAGCTCAATGAGTGGAAAAGTTCGAAAA